GGCAAAGGATTTTGCATGATACAATATAAATCATGACACCTTAAAAATGGGGAATATCCAGGTTTGACTATGCAATCACCAATGGGCCTTTAAAAGTCTGGGTCTATAGGTCATGGAGGTTTCAGCAAACGTAGGAAGCCCAGAGAGATTCCAACGATGTAGTGATTCAATGAGGAAGAAACTTCATTGCTGACTTTTTTGGAAGATGGTTGAGATTCACAAATAAATAAATTCCTTCAGGATCAACCAAACTTCATAATTAGTGCTATCCGCAATTTTTAATGACGGCTACAATATTTTTTTTTTTTTTTTTTTTTTGGAAGACGGAGTCTCGCCTCTTGGCGCCACGGCGGAGTGCCAGGTGGCCGACGCAGCTCACCTTGCGAGCCTCCCGTCCGGGTTCAGCGCCATTCCTGCCCCAGCTCCTGGGCTAGGCTTTGGGACAACAGGCGCCCGGGCCACCGAGGCGCGCGGCCTTTTAGTTTTCTCTGTATTTTGTTTAGTAGAACTGGGTTTTCACCCTGGTTTAGCGCAGGATGGGCTCGTCTCCTGCCTCTGTGAATGCGCCGGTCTTGGCCTCCCAAAGTGGCTGGGGATTACAGGCTTGGGCCACCGCGCCGGCCGGCCGAGCTAACATTTTTAAGTGCCTTTCAATATGTGGTGAACGGATTCACATGTTCTCTGCCTAGTCTTCTCTTTTGCTTTGTCCCTTGCATGCTACTATGTCTGTCTAGATGGGGACACCAAACGCCAGGCCTTTTGTGCAGGCTTTCTTTCTGCCTTCTCTCCTCTCTTGGAATGCTGTGGCTCTCTAGAGCCAGATAGCACTGCTGACGGTAGCTGAGTACAGGCAACTGATGGTGTTAGAAGCCACAGGCCTTTGATTAATCCAGGCTCTAACCCTTACCCACCTCAAAGTCCTAAGAGTCCTCCTTATAGTTTCCTATCAGATTTATACAGATTATTACCCACAAACCTTGCTCTTCCTTGGACCCCTAAGGCCAGGGCTTCTAATATCTTCATCACTTTTGAAGTATCTAGTAACTCTTCTTTCTGGAGTTTCAGTTACTTCATCCCCACTGCCCAGTGAAAAGTCACCAGATGACCAGTCCAAAGCCTCATACACACATCACGGCTAAACAGTGACTGGATGATACTTTGTCTAGATCAGCCATGGGTATTGTCGAATGTGACAAGGTGATCAAATCCAACAGAAAATTCCAAATTATGGGGACAGAGCCTCTGAATTGGATAAATCCCTGCAGAAAAATAAATAAATAAATAAATAAATAAACAAATAAATAAATAAATAAATTTTAAAATGGGAGAGCAGGGAAAAAAAAAGGCAGCCATGAAGAAAATAAAGGTTTTGGCCGGGTGTGGTGGCTCACGCCTGTAATCCCAGCACTTAGGGAGGCCGAGGCAGGTGGATCACGAGGTCAGGACATCGGGACCATCCTGGCTAACACGGTGAAACCGCGTCTCTACTAAAAATACAAAAAAAATTAGCCGGACATGGTGGCGGGTGCCTGTAGTCCCAGCTAGTCAGGAGGCTGAGGTAGGAGAATGGCGTGAACCCAGAAGATGAAGCGTGCAGTGAGCCCAGATCACACCACTGCACTCTAGCCTGGGCGACAGTGCAAGGTTCCATCTAAAAAGAAAAAAAAAAAGGAAAAAAAGAAAAGAAAGGTTTTCTCTACCTGAGGGGCTTTATTTATATAACAAGGCCACATTTGCTAGCCAAACCAAACTAGAAGAGCAATGGTTGTCACCTCACACCCCAGACTGCGGTTCAGTAGCTAAGGTTCTGCCCCTTTTGCCACCATGACAACCTGGGTTCGCTTCCTAAATCAATTTCTTTCCAGTTTGATATTTGTGTTACTTTTGAACATTTTTTCCAGGAAGTTTTTTTTAGCAATCTTTGTTGGCTTTCACCCCAGCTGTTACAGAACAGCTTGACTGAATTCAAAATCCAGACGGTCAGATGGTATCCTGAGAAGATGGTGGAATGAGAAGCACCTGGAATCTAGACAACAACTGCATGGGCAGGATCTGTCTGATGTAAATATTTCTGAACTCAGGAGCCTACTGAAGGCTTGCAACTTCCGGAGGAAGGCCTAGATGGTAAATTGTAGATAATTTCAGTCAATTTCAGCCCTTAGCACAATAGCAGCTACCCAACACTACCTCCAATGCGGTCAGCTTGTATTCCTACAGCAAGCTGCACACATCTTTCAGAATCCAGAATGGGCAAAAAGGATGCTGTCTCCAAATATTGGGGGTCTGGGCCAGGTGCAGTGGCTCATGCCTGTAATCCTAGCACTATGGGAGACTGAGGTGAGTGAATTACCTGAGGTCAGGAGTTCAAGACCAGCCTGGCCAACATGGTAAAACTCTTGTCTCTACTAAAATTAGCCAGGTGTGGTGGCAGGCACCTGTAATCCCAGCTACTCAGGAGGCTGGGGCACAAGAGTCACTTGACCCAGGAGGCAGAGGCTGCAGTGAGCTGAGATCACACCACTGCACTCCAGCCTGGGTGACAGAGCAAGACTCCATCTCAAAACACACACACACACAGACACACACACACATTGGGGCTCTGTTCTCTAATGGCTGATTGCAGCACAGAGACAAAGAGGCTGGCAGCTACTATTGTACCTCCCCCCATTGTAGCAAGCTCCTCACCCTAAGCTGAAGCAATTTCCAGAAAGTTTAAAGGGACGGTACCCTTTTTTCACCCTCCCTCAATTTTTCTCTTTTTCCCCTTTTGGGAGCCAGACATTAAAGGATAAAATATTCAAGAATAATTGCATATATAGGTAAAATTAGGTTGTGACCACACACCCAGGGAAAGGTTCAGGCTCAGAAAACATCTGTGAAGACCGTAAGTTTATACCTCAGGGCTGATCCTTGGCATACACACAACCTACAATAATCAAAAAACAAAACAATAACGAAAAAACAGAAAACCCTGAGGAAAGAGGAGAATCTAGTTTCTAGAGTTAACCACACTAGTAGATTCAAATGTCCAGTTTTCAACAACAACAACAACAATAAAAATAAATTAAAATAGGCCGGGCGCGGTGGCTCAAGCCTGTAATCCCAGCACTTTGGGAGGCCAAGACAGGTGGATCACGAGGTCAGGAGATTGAGACCACCCTGGCTAACATGGTGAAACCCCGTCTCTACTGAAAAAACACAAAAAAACCAGCCGGGTGAGGTGGTGGGCGCCTGTAGTGTCAGCTACTCTAGACTTGCCCAGACTCGCATTGCAAGTCTACCCAGACTTGCATTGTGGAATTTCTAAAGAAGAGGTAGAGAAGGGCAAGAGAGAATATTTGAAGAAATAATAGCTGAAAACTCCCCAAATTTGATGAAACACATGAAAACAGACACAGTAACCTAACAAACTCCAAGTAAGATAAACTGAAAGAGACCTACACCAAAACACATTATAATCAAACTTTCAAACATCAAAGACAGAGAATCTTTAAATCGGTAAGAGAAAAGCAACTGGTCACATGCAAGAAATCTTTAATAAGATTATAAACAGATTTCTCATCAGAAACTTTGGAAGCTGGAAGGACGGGAAATCAGAAGCTGCCAATGGCCAGGAGTGGTGGCTCATGTCTATAATCCCAACACTGGGAGGCCGAGGCAGGCAGATCACTTGAGGTCAGGAGCTCAAGACCAGCCTGGCCAACATGGCAAAACCCTGTCTCTACTAAAAATACAAAAATTAGCCCGGCATGGTGGTGGGTGACTGTAATCCCAGCTACCTGAGAGACAGAAGTGAGAGAATCACTTGAACCTGGGAGGCGGAGGTTGCAGTGAGCCAAGATCACACCACTGCACTCCAGCCTGGGTGATAGAGTGAGACTCCGTCTTCATAAACAAACAAACAAACAAATGAACAAACAAAAGCTGCCCATGAAAGGGAAGAGGATCAATAAATGGGTATTCCAAAAAAGTCAAAAGTCACACAAACAGCAAGCCAAAATAAACTGGTTCCCTGACTGGAAATTGAACAGGCTATGGCAGCAAAAGCACAGAACTTTAAGGACTGAACTGCAAGGTGAGCAGACTTTGTTGTGAATTCTGGAAGGGATCCAGAGCAAGCAGTTTGAGCTTATGAAGAATTTCAACTTTGTTTTGGGTCATATTTTGCTCTTTAATTTAGTCAAGAGAATTTTTTCCCTACACAACACAGATAATATTGTCAAGACAATTTTTAAGGGTAGCCATGACACTAGTATGTGCCTTTCTTTTAATTTGATCTTCCTATCAACTGTTTAAAATAAGAGATCTCTAAAATCTTTTTTTTTTTTTTTTTAATTCAGGTGTCTAATTTAAGGGATCCATCTTCAGGCCATTGGCAATTAGAATTTCCAATGGTGTAATTATTCCAACAGCAATTCAACCACATAGCCTCTTTGTGGAAAGTGCAGGATGTCATTTTCCAGGTTAACCTTCCGGGAAGGGCAAAGAAGAGGCAATTCCAAAGATTCCCCTGCAAGAAAAAAGTTCAATGCAAAGAGTAGGCGACAGATGGTTAAGGATGATGTCTGCCTCCAGTAACCCACAAATTTATGGGGGCTTCCTGTCACAGACCTGTGAATCTATGATACCAGGTAGGCCCTCTTGCGACTGAGCTTTCCTAGGACTAACCAAGTAACAAGAGTTGAGATGACAAAAGCCTCAAAGGGATGGGACTTCTTAAGACAAACCCCAAGAGCTTGACATAGTCAGGACAAAAAGTGTGCTTGGGTTCCCAGCCATCTTCAGACAGGCCACCTAGTATGACCTAAAAATGACTCCCTCTTACCAGATAGCAGAAACCAAGAGGAAGTGCTCCCACTTGGTCACAAGTCAAGCTCTCAAGGACATAAAATAAGATGAGAAGGAACCTCAACCAGTACCCCCTTTTATGACAGAATAACACATAGAGACAAAGACAGAGGAACAGACAATTTCTGGGAAGAAAAGGATTAAACAACATGAATTGGTACCACAAAGTACCAAAAAGCACACCAGAGTCACTACACCCAAGACTAGTCACACAAATTCTTTTCTCCAATTAAGCAAGATTTTGGAGAGGGAAAAGAAAGAAACAGTGAGTTTTACTGTCCACTTGATCAGATTCCACACAGAGGAGGAGGCCGGGAGCCCGGCTGGTAAAAAGAAATTCTTACCTTTATGACAGCTGATCAGATCCTGGATTATTCACTGCAGATTCCAGAAGAGCAGAGCTTTCGTATCCTGCTTACATCTCCGAAACTGTAGGGACCAGTGGAAACCCTCCCTCTTAACCCTCTGAAGTTTCACTCAAAAATCAACTCACAAAAGCAGATTAATTGGAGAAATGGCATAAAATGTACTAACATGTACATGGGGAGAGCCACAGAGTGATTACCCTACCCTACCCACAATGGGATGCAGAAGCTTATATACCACCTCGAGGTAACAGAATGAATGAGGGCTCAAAGTATGGCCAAAACCAGGTACCATCAGAGTTAGAGGTATATCCATGTATTGTGTGCAAGTCAGGTTATGGGAGGGAGAGAAGAGGAGGCTTGGCTAGCAAAGATGGTCTTAATATGTAAATGAAACCTTACCGGTAGCAGCTCTCAGAGAAAATAAACCCTCAAAGTTTCTTTCAGACGTTTACAGGTGTCAGACTCTCGGTTAATCTTCCCTAGATCTGGGCAAGGAAAGACTTGGCTGTGTCAATGCAGATTCCCTACAGATGCAAATCTCCCCACCAAAAGACAACTTTGCAGGGCTACTTCTGCAGCTGGCTTTCTGAACAGACATCTCAAAATATGTCAAAGGAATGTATTTTGGGGTAAAATATTTTTAATTCCTTCACATCTACAGCCTGATGCACCTGCCATTTCAACGCACCATTGTTGGTGGCAACTCCATTCTTCCCTACACTCAAGCCAGAAAAACAGATTCTCCTTGAGGTTAGTCTTTTTCTCACCGCACACATCCAATGTGTCAGAAAAATTATGTTTCCTGTTTGGTTAATTACAGACTTTGATCTGCCCAATCTTTCTCTTTCTTGGTCTCTGAATTTTGGCAAAGGAGTCTCCTGATACAGGCGGGATTGATTCGACTGAGGATTCTCAAACCCGTCAGACATTTCAGAGCCTTAATCTCGGGGTCGGGGTTTGGGCCGCCCTTGAACATTTTTTCGGGGCCTACCCGTCAAAATCAGCCTGGCCAGGTCCTCCCGACGCTTCTTGAAGCTTCTCCCGCCGGGTGGGCAGCCACCGTCCCCTTCCCTCTGACCTGCAGAGAAGCTTCAGGGGGCATTTATTCAATTTGTTAGGAGCCCACGAGACGCAGGTGCGCGGTGACTCTGGTTCCCAGCACACCCGCCGCCCTCCTTGGTCCTCTCACTGTCTCAAACGGGCGGTAATGTTCCGGGTGAGCTTGGGCTCCGAAGACACCCAGTCAGCGAGGGACCGGTAGGGAAGGGCACCGGCCCCTTAGGCCCTTCGCAGTAGGGATCCGAAAAACGTCTTGAAGAAGTAGAAAGGGACAGTTGCAAGTAGATCAAAGGGAAAGAAGGAAATCCTAGGAGATTTCCTATCTGAAGGCACCATGAAGAGAAAGTCCCGCCTCCGCTGGAGCGCCTCCTCACGACGCAGGTGAACCGAGTTCCGGTCTCCGTTGGAGACCAAATCAGTTGACTTCGGCTTGACTCCTAGTGAAGAAGCCACCTTTGTCCTCCCCTGTTTAGCTCTTGATCCTGAAGCACTTGATTGTCTGTCCCGCGCTTTCCATGCATTTCAGGGATGCAACTGGGAAATTTGTTTTTAATGCACTTACTTGAAGGAAGAATATTTTAAAGTATTTTTGCAAAGAAAAACGTTTCCTTTTGCACTGAAGACATTCAGATGTGAGGAAAATCACTAGTCTGGGGAAAGTAAATGCTGTTGAGAATGTCTCACAAACACAAATTACACATCAGCAGGTAGGTTTGACCCTCAGGTTGGGCACATTTTAAGTGGACTGTTGGAACTTAAGATGAATCTAGGACATTCATGATTATTATTTTTAGTTTTTTAGTAAAATTTAATATTTTAAATTTAAATACACATTCTGAAAATTGTGTAAGCAACACAAGAAACCGGCTTTATGACATATTTACGAACATACGAAAGAAAGATGATATTTGAAATGACAACGCTTCCGCTGGGCGCAGTGGCTCACGCCTGGCGGATGACGAGGTCAGATCGAGACCATCCTGGCTAACACGGTGAAACCCCGTCTCTACTAAAAATGCAAAAAAATTAGCTGGGCATAGTGGTGGGCGCCTGTAGTCCCAGCTACTCGGGAGGCTGAGGCAGGAGAATGGTGTGAACCCAGGAGGCGGAGCTTGCAGTGAGCCGAGATCGCGCCATTGCACTCCAGCCTGGGCAACTGAGCGAGACGCCGTCTCAAAAAAAATTTTTTTTTTCTGACGTAATAAGTAAAAGTAATAATAATGAATCACAAAGCTTATAGTGCATAAAGTAAAAATACGTAACGCTAGGATAAAGGCCAGAAAGGGAGGTATAATGACACTTGAAAGCAGATTATTATAAATTAAAGATGTATCCCAGAAACCCTAAAGCAGCCTCTGAAATAAGAAAGGGGTTATACCTAATAAAGCAACAAAGGAAAGAAAATGGAATGAAAAAAATCTATGTAAACACTATGCTGGAACAACTACTCTCCAGGCCTCCACACCACTGGTCAATGAGAAGGGTACTTGTAGAATGATGCCTGCAGCATTATTTGTAATCATAAAATAATAGGACCAAGGTAATTTTAAAGATATATGAAAAGGGTTTTATTTATTTAACAAACAGATAATTGAACAAACAACGGAAGCAAGTCCTTTGCCAAAAGAACACAGAGGGTCATGATGATGCTACTCCTCCAGGGATTTCAGGGATCCCAGACGCCTAGTTTTCTGCCTAGTTCTTCTGGAAGATGTTATTCTCGGGGAGCAATAGGTCCTCGAGTTTGGGACTCTTTCAGGTTCTCTCTCCATTTCCCGATTCTGCTACAATAAACAAACAAACAAAAGCAATTTTCACTTCCAGAAGACCCCGCCGGTGCCTCTTGCAGGAGGTCTGGATGTCTGGTCCACCGCTCCCCGGCTTCTTTCCCAGCTTTTGCTTTTCCCTTCCCCTGCTCTCGCCCTGCCGCCCCACGGCCCGACCACTGCCCAGCTGAGCCCCCGCGGTTCCACCGCGAAGAAGATGCGCCGGAGGCCCTGCCAGTTGCCCGCCCTGCGGGGTGCCCAGAAATCAACGCTTTGTAAAAAGAACCTCCCCATGGAAAAAATCTCTTGATTTCCACTCTCAGGGTTCTGCAAAAGACTAAAAGCTAAAGGCGACGATGAATTCTTTCGACAAGTCCTAGTCGTGCCAGACCCTGCTCCCCACGAGGGGACCCACGAGCGACCCTCACCACCACCTCTGCCCTGGTGGAGCCCCCGTGCGGAACACAGGATCCGAAGATGGCAGCGGAAGCTCCTCAGCAGCCCTGAAAGCGACTGGGCAGGGTGGGAACAGGCTCCTTCACTGGGTGAAGGCGGCGCAAAGAACGGGAAGAACCATCCCGGGAGCCCACCGGGCGTTCACCTTCCCTTGAGCCCCCAGGCGGCTCGGGCTGGGTCGCCCACCGGGGAGTTTCCGGAAGCTCCTGAAGCAGGCGAGGGGCTGGACGGGCGAAGGCCATTCGGCTGTTCCTCCGGCTCCAGAATCTCCTAACGCGCAGGTGTCCAACGTGACCAGCGCGACTCACCGCTCTAATCTCTCTAATCTCTCTGGTTTTCCAACGCCTTGCTCAGTCGTCCTGCCGGGCAGGCCCCGAGAATGTACGGAAAGGAGCAAGTTTAGCGAGTAGCCCTTCCTGCATCGCCCAGTAAAGCTGGGAACGGTTGTCTCTGTGGCGCAATCGGTTAGCGCGTTCGGCTGTTAACCGAAAGGTTGGTGGTTCGATCCCACCCAGGGACGACTCTTGGAACTTTTAAAGCCTTAACGCATTGTCAATCACTAGATAAATGGAGAGGATTTTATCTTTCCGGAGTCCCAAGACACTGATTTATGACTGATCCATGTCAAGGCCCAGCCCACCTCCCCGACCAGATTCTTAACCGGGTATCTCCTGAAATACCGGGTTTATACCAGTGTAACTCAGGAATCCTGAAACAGAGACCTAGGAACCCACTTCTGGTGTGATAAAATTCTAATTCAGTCCCTTATACGCTTAAACGAGTAATTTACATGCCTCCATTTTTTC